AAGCAGCTGGCGGATGCAGAGATGGTGAAGCACAAGAAGTTCGCGGAGCAGACGCTGCGGCAGAAGGCACAGGTGGAGCAGGAGCTGACCAAGGTGAAGCTGCAGCTGGAGGAGACTGACCACCAGAAGGGCATCCTGGACGAGGAGCTGCAGCGGCTGAAGGAGGAGGTGACGGATGCCATCCGGCAGAAGGCCCAGGTGGAGGAGGAGCTCTTCAAGGTCCGGGTGCAGATGGAGGAGCTGGCAAAGCTGAAGAGCCGGATTGAGGAAGAGAACAAAGCACTGATCCTCAAGGACAAGGACAACACACAGAAGTTCTTGGCAGAGGAGGCTGAGAAGATGAAGCAGGTGGCGGAGGAGGCTGCACGGCTCAGCGTGGAGGCCCAGGAGGCCGCCCGCATGCGGAAGCTGGCTGAGGATGACCTGGCGCAACAGCGGGCGCTGGCAGAGAAGATGCTGAAGGAGAAGATGCAAGCGGTGCAGGAGGCCACGCGGCTGAAGGCCGAGGCGGAGGTGCTGCAGAAGCAGAAGGACCTGGCACAGGAGCACGCCAAGCGGCTGCAGGAGGACAAGGAGCAGCTGCAGCAGCGCCTGGCCGAGGAGACCGAGGGCTTCCAGAAAACCCTGGAGGCTGAGCGCCGGCGGCAGCTGGAGATCACTGCCGAGGCTGAGCGCCTCAAGCTGCATGTAGCGGAGATGAGCATGGCCCAGGCCAAGGCCGAGGAGGAGGCCAAGCGGTTCAAGAAGCAGGCAGAGGAGATCAGTGGTAGGCTGCATGAGACCGAACTGGCCACACAGGAGAAGATGACACTGGTGCACACCCTGGAGATACAGCGACAGCAGAGTGACCAGGACGCGGAGAAGCTGCGGAGGGCCATCGCTGAACTGGAGCAGGAGAAGGAGAAGCTGAAGCAGGAGGCGGCCTTGCTGCAGCAGAAGGCGGAGGAGGTACTGGGTTATGGGTCCCCCTTAGTGGTGATGGTATGCAGGGAGATCTTCCCTCTGCCATGCGGGCAGCTGGCTAGGCTCACACAAGGCTGGCCAGGGTCCGGGAGCAGCACTGGGCATTTGCTGACCACCATCGCCGCAACGCAGGCTGGCATCCTCTGTCCCCAAGCGCGTGCACAGCGCTGGAGGCGAGTGCTGCATCTGGTGGATGTGGGTGAGGAGCGAGCTGCTAGCACTGTCCAGGAGATGGAGGCATCACTGAGGCTCCTCGCCCCAGTGTCTGGCCCCTGCCCTCGGTGGTCACAGTGAGCGGCCGCTTGTGGAGCAGGATTTGCTCACGCAGGTCACGGATTTGTGCAGAGCCAGGATCCAGGTGCAGCGAGGCAAACCCAACAGGGAAGCGCTGAAGTGGGACCTCCCACCCTCTGCCCTCTCCCGCTGCCTCCAGCAGCTCCTGCTCTGGAGGGGCAATCCCCACCACGTGTGCCAGCTTTTTGGCCATGTGGGGTGTCCTACTTATTCCTCTCTTCGAACAAGAGCCATCCTCAGCTCCCAGCCTCAGTAGCTGGGCAGGGGGTCCCTCACCCCAGCAGAAGAGCTCTTGTCTTTTCCCTGGTTGTTTCACCCATGTGTTGTTTGCTGTAGCTCCCTAACCCCAGCTCTACCCCATTAACTTTTAACCTACGTAGTAGAGTGGTTGGGCAATTCATCCCATTAATGCACACCCTGATACCAGCCTGGTAACAACCCGCTGCCTGTCCTCCCAGCCCTGCCCACTTCCTGCTGCCCTGTCGGCACTGCCATATCTGGCAGACAGTGCTGTCTGACCAATGCTCTCCTCTTTCTCACCCCAGATGCAGGTGGCCCAGCAGGTGCAGCTCCGCCAGGAGACGCAGATCCTTCAGCAGACTTTCCTGACGGAGAAGGATGCCCTGCTCCAGAAGGAGAAGTTCATCGAGGAGGAGAAAACCAAGCTGGAGAAGCTCTTCCAGGATGAGGTGAATAAAGCTAAGAATCTAAAGGCAGAACAAGAGCGGCAGCAGAAGGAGATGGAGCAAGAAAAGCAGCAGCTGAAAGCCATGCTGGATGAAGCCAAGAAGCATCAGAAAGAAGCAGAGGAAAATGTGCGGCACAAGCAGGAGGAGCTGCAGCAGCTGGAGAGACAGCGGCAGCAGCAAGAAAAACTCCTTGAAGAGGAGAACAAGAAGCTCAGGGAGAGGCTTGAGCAGATGCAGGAAGAGCACAAGGCTGCCCTGGCACAGACACGAGAAATCATGATCCAGACAGATGACCTGCCTGAGGAGGTTGTGGTTACAACGCAGCTGATGGACATCAAAGCTGTGCCCAATGGCAGAGAGGTGGTGGATGGCATAGCACAGAATGGGGAGCCAGAGTTTGCGTTCGATGGTATCCGCCAGAAGGTGTCTGCAGAGAAGCTGGCTGAGGCTGGCATCTTGAGCAAGGAGAGCTTAGACAAGTTGGCAAAGGGCGTCGTGAATGTTGACGAGCTCTCGCAGAGGGAAGACATCAAGAAGTATCTGCAGGGCAACAGCAGCATCGCTGGTTTGTTAATCAAACCCACCAATCAAAAGATGAGCATTTATGAAGCCATGAAGAAAAAGCTGCTCACCCCGGGCACTGCACTGGTCCTCCTGGAAGCGCAGGCTGCCTCTGGCTTCATAATTGACCCTGTGCGAAACATGAGGCTATCGGTGAATGAGGCAGTGAGAGAAGGAGTGATTGGGCCAGAACTGCACAATAAAATGCTTTCTGCTGAACGGGCAGTAACTGGCTATAAAGATCCTTACACGGGAGACAAGATCTCCCTCTTCCAAGCCATGTCAAAGGAGCTTATTGTCAGGGACCATGGCATCCGCCTGCTCGAGGCCCAGATCGCCACCGGCGGCATCATTGACCCTGTCAACAGCCATCGCCTCCCTGTTGAAGCTGCCTACAAGCGAGGCTACTTCAATGAGGAGATGAACCAAGTCCTCTCTGACCCCACGGACGACACCAAGGGCTTCTTTGACCCCAACACCCAGGAGAATCTCACCTACCTGCAGCTCATGGAGCGGTGTGTGACTGACCCGGACACGGGGCTGTGCCTCCTACCACTCACTGACCAGGCAGCCAAAGCAAGGGAGCTGCTCTACACTGACAAAGAAGCCAAGGATGTCTTTAAGAAGGCTACAGTGATGGCACCATTTGGCAAGTTCCAAGGGAAGACTGTGACCATCTGGGAGATCATCAACTCTGAATACTTCACTGAGGACCAAAGGCGGGACCTGATCCAGCAATACAGGACTGGCAAGATCACGGTGGAGAAGATCATTAAGATCATCATCACGGTTGTGGAGGAAAGTGAGAAAAAGAGCCAGATGTTATTCGAGGGGCTCCGGGCCCCCGTACCTGCTGCTGAGCTGCTGGAAAGCAAAATCATCAACAAGGATCTCTACAACCAGCTGCACCAGGGGAAGAAGTCCGTGAACGATGTGGCAGAGATGGAGTCTGTGAGGCAGTACCTGAAGGGCACAGATGCCATTGCTGGCATCCTAGTGGAGTCGACCGGCCAGAAGTTCACCTTCTATGACGCCTTGAAGAGAAACCTGCTGAAGCCAGAGATTGCCTTGCCCCTGCTGGAGGCGCAGGCTGCCACAGGCTATATCATCGACCCTGTGAGGAACAAGCTGTACTCTGTTGATGAGGCAGTGAAGGCTGAGACCGTGGGGCCAGAGTTTCATGAGAAGCTGCTGTCTGCAGAGAAGGCTGTGACAGGCTACAAGGATCCCTACATCCCTCTTCCAAGCGCTCAAGAAGGGCCTCATCCCCACTGACACTGGGGTCCGTCTGCTGGATGTCCAGCTTGCCACTGGCGGCATCATCGATCCCGTGAACAGCCACCGGCTCCCACTTGAGGTTGCCTACAAGCGGGGCTACTTTGACCCGGAGATGAACGCAGCTCTGTCCGCGCTCCTAGATGAGGCCAAAGCTTTCTATTGTCCCAACACCCAGGAGAACCTCACCTATGCCCAACTGCAGAAGAACTGCCACCGTGACAAGCAAACTGGCCTCTACCTCCTCCCCCTCTCGGACAAAGCCATCCAGTCACAGCAGGAGGAGATCTACACAGACAGCCAGGCAAAGGAGTGCTTTGAGAAGGCAACCGTAGAGGTCCCATCAGGCAGCCTGAAGGGCCGGACAATGACCATATGGGAGTTGATCCACTCAGAGTACTTCACAGAGGAGCACAGGCGGGAGCTCCTCCGTCAGTACAAGACTGGCAAGGTGACCATTGAGAAGATCATCAAGATCATGATCACCATCATCGAGGAGACAGAGACCAAGAAACAGGAGAAGCTGACGTTCAGTGGTCTCCGGGCACCCGTATCTGCTAGCGAGCTGGTGGAATCCTGCGTCATCAGCAAATCCCAGTACGAGCAGCTGAAGGAAGGCAAGAAATCAGTGAAGGACCTCTCTGAGACAGATTCAGTTAAGAGATACCTGCAGGGGAGTGACTGCATTGCCGGCATCTATGTGGAGGCAACGAAAGAGAAGCTAAACATCTACGAGGCCATGAAGAGGAACCTGCTGAGGCCCAGCACTGCTGTAGTTCTCCTGGAGGCCCAGGCCGCAACTGGATTCCTGATTGATCCCATGAAGAACCGGAGGCTGTACGTCAACGAGGCAGTGAAGGCTGGCGTCGTTGGGCCCGAGCTGCATGAGAAGCTGCTATCTGCCGAGAAGGCGGTCACTGGATACAAGGACCCCTACTCGGGAAACACCATCTCCCTCTTCCAGGCCATGAAGAAAGGACTCATTGTCAAGGAGCACGGCATCCGCTTGCTTGAGGCCCAGATTGCTACAGGTGGCATCATCGACCCTGTGCACAGTCACCGTGTCCCTGTGGAGGTGGCCTATAAGCGGGGCTACTTTGATGAGGAAATGAACCGGATCCTCTCTGACCCTACAGATGACACCAAGGGCTTCTTCGACCCCAACACTCATGAGAACCTCACCTACATGCAGCTGAAGGGGAAGTGCATTGAGGACCCTGAGACGGGCCTGTACCTGCTGCCCCTGCGGGAGCCAGAGAAGCCTATGGTGGTGGAGACCACTCAGGTGTACACAGAGGCAGAGACACGGAAGGTGTTTGAGGAGACGCAGGTGGACATCCCCGTGGGCAGCAGGGCAGGCTCGTCCATGTCGCTGTGGGAGATCATGAACTCAGACCTGCTGCCTGAGGAGCAGCGGAAGCATCTCATGGAGGAGTTCCAGTCGGGCCGTGTGTCCAAGGAGCGCATGATCATCATCATCATCGAAATCATTGAGAAGACTGAGATCATCCGGCAGCAGAACCTCACCTCCTATGACTATGTCCGGCGCCGCATCACGGCTGAGGACCTCTACGAGGCCACGATCATCTCCCTGGACATCTACAACCTGCTGAAGCAGGGCTCCAAGACCATCCGGGAGCTTCTGGACATAGAGACCGTCTGGAAACACCTCTATGGGTCAGGCTGTGTTGCCGGCATCTACATCCCCTCCTCCAAGCAGAAGCTCAGTATCTACCAGGCACTGAAGAAGGGGCTGGTCAACTCTGAAGTGGCCCGCTCCCTCTTGGAGGCCCAGGCTGCCACTGGTTTCATGATTGATCCTATAAAGAATGAGAGGCTGACAGTCGATGAAGCGGTCAGGAAAGGTGTAGTTGGGCCAGAAATCCATGACCGGCTCCTGTCCGCAGAGAGGGCTGTGACCGGTTACAGAGATCCATACAGTGAGCAGAAGATTTCCCTCTTCCAGGCCATGAAGAAAGACCTCATTCCCAGTGAAGAGGCCCTGAAGCTTCTGGATGCCCAGATAGCCACCGGCGGTGTTATTGACCCACACCTTGGCTTCCACCTTCCCCTGGAGGTGGCCTACCAGCGGGGCTTCATCAACAAGGACACGTACGACATGCTGTCCGAACCCAGTGAGGTGCGGAGTTATGTGGACCCCTCCACGGAGGAGAAGCTCAGCTACACGCAGCTCCTGAAGCGGTGCCGGAAGGACGAGAACAGCGGGCTCCTGCTGCTCCCGCTCTGCGACACGAGGAAGCTCACCTTCCGCGGGCTGCGGAAGCAGATCACCGTGGAGGAGCTGGTCCGCTCGCAGGTAATGGATGAAGTCACAGCCCAGCGCCTCCAGGAGGGCCTCACCTCTGTCGAGGAGGTCTCCAAGAATCTGAAGAAGTTCCTGGAGGGCACCAGCTGCATTGCTGGTGTCTTTGTGGACTCCACAAAGGAGCGGCTGTCCGTATACCAGGCCATGAAGAAGGGTATCATCAGGCCAGGCACCGCATTTGAGCTCCTGGAGGCGCAGGCAGCCACCGGGTATGTGATCGACCCTATCAAGGGCCTCAAGCTGACTGTGGAGGAGGCTGTGCGGATGGGCATCGTGGGCCCTGAGTTCAAGGACAAGCTGCTCTCTGCTGAGAGGGCAGTAACTGGCTACCGTGATCCCTACACCGGAAAGCTCATCTCCCTCTTCCAGGCCATGAAGAAGGGGCTGATCCTGAAGGACCATGGGATCCGCTTGCTGGAGGCCCAGATTGCAACAGGAGGCATCATTGATCCTGAAGAGAGCCACCGCCTACCCGTGGAAATGGCCTACAAGAGGGGCCTCTTTGATGAGGAGATGAATGAGATCCTGCTGGATCCCAGCGATGACACCAAGGGCTTCTTTGACCCCAACACAGAGGAGAACCTAACCTACCTGCAGCTCATGGAGCGGTGCATCACTGACCCAGAGACCGGTCTCTGCCTCCTGCCCCTGAAGGAGAAGAAGCGGGAGAGGAAGACCTCCTCTAAGTCCTCTGTCCGCAAGCGCAGGGTGGTGATAGTCGACCCAGAAACTGGCAAGGAGATGTCGGTGTATGAAGCCTACCGCAAGGGCCTCATTGATCACCAGACCTACCTGGAGCTGTCGGAGCAGGAGTGCGAGTGGGAGGAGATCACCACCTCCTCCTCCGATGGCGTGGTCAAATCCATGATCATCGACAGGCGCTCAGGGCGCCAGTACGACATCGATGATGCCATTGGCAAGGGCTTGATCGACCAGTCGGCCCTGGACCAGTACCGCTCGGGCACCCTCTCCATCACCGAGTTCGCAGACATGCTGTCCGGGAACATGAGTGGCTTCCGGTCGCGGTCGTCCTCCGTGGGGTCATCCTCCTCCTACACTGTCAGCCCGGCCCCCACACGAACGCAGATATCAATGTGGACCGACCCAACTGAGGAGACTGGGCCGGTTGCTGGCATCCTGGACACAGATACTCTGGAGAAGGTGTCCATCACGGAGGCGATGCGCCGCAACCTTGTAGACAACATCACAGGGCAGAGGCTGCTGGAAGCCCAGGCCTGCACCGGGGGCATCATCGACCCCAGCACCGGGGAGAAGTGCTCTGTCGCTGACGCAGTGAACAAGGGCCTGGTGGACAAAATCATGGTGGACCGCATCAACCTTGCTCAGAAGGCCTTCTACGGCTTTGAGGACCCAAGAACCAAGACGAAGATGTCAGCGGCCCAGGCACTGAAGAAGGGCTGGCTGTACTATGAGGCCGGGCAGCGCTTTCTGGAGGTGCAGTACCTGACGGGGGGGCTGATCGAGCCTGACGTCGAAGGCCGCGTCTCCTTGGACGAGGCACTGCAGAAGGGCACCATCGACACGCGCACGGCCCAGAAGCTGCGGGATGTGAACACCTACTCCAAGTATCTCACCTGCCCGAAAACCAAGCTCAAGATCTCCTACAAGGACGCGATGGACCGGAGCATGATTGAGGACGGGACAGGCCTGCGACTGCTGGAAGCCTCCTCCCAGTCCAGCAAAGGCTACTACAGCCCTTACAACGTCAGCAGTGCCGGCTCCACCTCCGGCTCGCGGTCGGGCTCCCGGACGGGGTCCAGGGCGGGCTCGAGGCGTGGGAGCTTTGATGCCACCGGCTCTGGCTTCTCCATGACCTTCTCTTCCTCCTCCTACTCTTCCTCAAGCTTTGGGCGCAGATACGCATCGGGTCCCCAGAGTGCCGTGGATGCAGGAGACCTGGCGCTCGCCTTGTCCCACCTGAACAGGAGCTGCGGAGGGGAGGCAGGCGGGACGCGCGCCGAACCGCGCGGGCCACCGCTCAGCGTGGCGTAGAGCCCCCTCCCTGCCCCTTCCGCGTCCTGAGGAACCTGCCTGCCTCTCCTGCTCTGCATGTGGTCAAGCTGCTGGCTAATCACTCTATTATTTTTTTAATTTTTAAACTCCATTTTTCTTCCAAAGCAGTGCCTAAAGTTTAACCAAAAAGACTAGACTAATATATTAATATATACGATTGTTCTGATAGTATTTGTATATTAAGAGATGAGAGAGAAAACACACTACCCTCCCAAGACCTGCAGTCCCAGGAGCTTGCTGCCGTTCGCGCCCTCTGCAGAGCAGGTCCCGCCGCCGCGAGGCAGACCCTGAGAACAGTTTTGTGTTTTTGATCTAACCACTTCGTGACTCTTTTATCGTGAACTCCGCCGGCTTCACCCCTGCCCAGCACCCCGAAGGAGGAGCCCGCCGGCCCCGGCCCCGGCCCCGCGAGGAAGGGGCATCGCCTGCGTTGGGACCCCCGGCCCGACCGCCGCGCCGCAGCTCCGGAGCGGTCCCTGGACCCTTTCC